TATTATTATATATACTAGTAGTAGTTTCTATATTTCTTCTGTCTCTATTATTCTTAGCTGATTTCCATCTTTGTATCTTTTTTAAATAATCCTGATATGATCTTTTTGGAAGATTACTTAGATCGTAAATCTTTTCTTGTTTGTTTTTAGGAGGTCGTGTAGGAAAGTAGACATGATTTTCTCATATTCTATATAAGTTAAAATATCTACACCCTTGGTAAGAATTGTGCTTGGTAGTACACATCAATTTTGCAAGAGCTAGTATATCTCCTGACCAAGATATAACTGTACAATGTAAAATAAAATCTTGGTCTTAATATCCATCTCGACATTCGATTCTACCTTAACCAAGTTGATTAAAATTTTATAAAAAATAAATAATCTAAAGGTTTAAAAAAAAAAAAAAGAGAAAGAAAAGAAGATATATTTATATAAAGGATCAAATAGTTTGAATTCTTATGTTCTAACTCCTTGAGTTCATTAATTACTGGGTAAAGAAAGGAGTTTAAATTGCCTGGTGCTGATGGACCTGAGATCAAAGCTCCAATTAATAAATTGTTTTGCTTCACCTGATCTTCTGGTGGAATGTTTGCATTTATGAATAAAATTATCCAACAATCGTCAGTTTTTTGTTTAAAAATATTATAACCATCAAGCGAAGCTATTAATGCAATATCCCGATAATCCATAAAATGCCCTTCTTCTACTAACTCTTGGTACCATCTACTATTATATATATCACCATATGAGCTATTTTGCAAATATTCTTGACTCGTTACATAATTAATTCGATATTGTAATTCTAATGACCAATTGGGATTCTAGTATTGTATAATAAACCTTTTTTTTAGAGAAAAAAATGCTATTCTTTTTACTCCAACTTGTTTTTTGGAATTTCTTTTATATCTCTCCTCTCCACATACTGAGTATTCTTGTAGGTCTTTCAAATTTCTAGTAAAAGCACAACAACTTTTCACACAACAATCAATCCATATTGGATCAATTGATATTAGACTCAATAGTTTTTTAGTAGCATGATATAAAGATACATTTTGTTCACTAAAAGCATCTATTATTTTACAATACATTTCATTCGTCATATTAGAATGAGCTTTGTTTTCCAAAAGTCTCAAAGCTTCTGGAAATCTAGGAGATAATTGAATAGTAGTATGATCTAAATGAATAAAAAAGTCTTAGAGAATTAAAGAAGATGTTTATGTATTTAACATCTGATTTGCCTTACTATCTTCACTTGATTCGCTGTTTGATACCGAATTTGAATCTGTTAGTAGTTCATTATCAGACATACTAAAATTATATTAGTTTTAAAGATTAAAATTTAGTAATATATATAATTAGAATGTCCAAGGTACTGCGTTGCATAATTCAGCTTATGCTAAAATATCTTTTTACATTGTAATTGAGTTTAAAAAGTGATTTAACTACACGTCTCTAATGAGATCAATATAAAATTATTTTAGCGTGAGCAGAATTACGCACTGCAATACCCTGAACACTCTATATATAATCAAAACAAAAAAACACATCTTAGTTACTTTTCACTAGCTTCCTGAAAATCTAATTCGTAGTTGGTGATTGATTCTAAATCTTCAATTTCAGTATTACTCAGCATTTGATCGTTTAATATTTGTTTATTTGCGCTTGATTCTTGTTCAATATTGCTCAGTTCCTGTTCACCATTACTTGAATTAGCACTTGATTCCTGTTCAATGTTGCTCATTTCCTGTTCATCATTGCTCAATTGAGTATTATTGATTTGAGAATACTTTTTTTGAAGGCATGTGCGTGTTGAAAAAAAAACTAAGTTTTGACCTCGATATTTTAAACAATTACAAAGAACTTTTAGCCCTTTATTGCTTTTTTTTTTTTAATTCAATGACTTTTAATAATCATTTGAATGACTTATTTGACGGCTATAGAGATAAAATAATTCAATAATTGAATCTTTGTAATAAAGAAAAAGTTAGATCGCAATAATATTTAAAGTACCTCATAGCTGCGCCACATCTCTTAAATTCGATATACCATAATTAAATTTACTTTTATAGAAAACAATTACATAATTGTGACAAATAATTTAGATCAATTCAATGAATTTTTTTTAAATACTATTTATATATTCATGTGATATATAATTACGTGATTTTTAACAATTCACTACATAGTATTCTTTACCTGCTTATAAATTTTCCTATTCTTCTTTTCGCGAACATAAAATAATATAACTTTTTTTATGCAAGGCTTTGTTTAAAGTAATTTGAAATACTTTATGCCGCAGTTATGAATATGATGGAATATGAAACATCAGATGATTCTTCCAATTCAGAAAATGGTTCTTTTACTAGTGAATCAACTATTCATGAACAAGAGGTTATATCAAAAAAGATTACTAAGCTTAAAAAGAGAATCTCTGAATTTGAAGATATTTCCACGGTAAAAGAAGTAACGCCAAAAAAAGTAAACAAAAAGCCATTAACGCCATTAACTTAAAATAAAGTACACAATATAGAAGACAAATTTTCTTTCGATAAAACCCCTAAAGTGACAACAAATAAGGGAAGCAAAGGAAATAAAGTGCATACTTTAGAAGACAAATCGTCTAATTATAAAAACTCTAATATGGCAACGAGTAAAGTAAAAAAGGGGCATATTATCGAAGACGAATCTTCTGATGATAAAACGACAATAAAAAAAGCAAAAAATAGACAAATCATAAATGACTTTTCTAGTTATAATGCTGAAAAAGGACTATTAAAACAATTAAAACGAAGTTGACAACAATTCTCTGATGATACTGAATTTTCTAGTGATGATCCCAAATAGGTGAAAGTTATTGTTCAAATAAATGTTTAACTTGTATTTTTTTTTTTTTTTTTTTAACAATTTATATATTCTTGTAGCCGGTATTCAAGAAGAAAAATATAAATTACCAAAAAATCCCTTCTTTTCTTCATATTCCAAAAAGAATCTGGCATAGTTATGTAGTATGTTGTTTATAATTTATCGGAAATTTGATAATAATTTAATTTTATAAAATTACAGGAATCTATGAGACTCATAGTGCTGAAAGACTTTATCGCTTGTGTCCTACTACTGAATATCATGATATGCCTCTTATTGAGATTAACAAATACATCGATAAGGTAAATTAACAAATTGAAATCTTTAAATAAGGTCTTATAATTTGATTTTGGTTAACTTGCATTTGATATATATATATATATTTTAATTTGAATTATCTTGCACTAGTTTCGTAAAAAAAACCCATCCTTCCCAGTAACAGTTAGTGATTGAGCAGAACATGAGATGATTCATCACCATGTCAATTATAGATGTAAACTTAATTTATCTTATTGTTATTATTATTCTATATTAAATTTATCAATAACCATCTTTTAAAACTTACAGGCTCAGCACTTAATATCAGTGAGATCTCTGAAACACAAGATACAACTGTTCCTACTAATAATAGAATCAAAGCCCGTAAACCGAACGGTAATAGTAAAAGAGCTAAAAAAGGAAAGCATGTTAATTATAATGCGATCAACACTAATGAAAGCGATACAAATTTATCAAAAAAAAATATTGGTAAGTTTGTTTATTCTATTATTCTACATTATATTAAACTTGTCAGTGACTATCTTTTAAAACTTATAGGATTAGCACTTAATAGTCGCGAGATATCCAAAATTCAAGATACAACTTCTTCTACTAATAATAGAACCAGTAAACCGAGTAGGAAAAAAGCTAAAAAAGGAAAACAAGTCGATCACAATGCACCTGCTAATAATCCGTATGACAATAGTAAAGGTACTAAAAAAGGAAAACAAGTCGATCACAATACACCTATTGATGTTAATGAAAGTGATCCGAATGATGCTAAAAAAGGAAAACAATTCGATCACAATGCACCTATCAATATTGATGAAAGCGATCCAAATTTATCAGAAAAAAATATTGGTAATTGTTATCTTATTATTATTATTCTACAATGTATTAAACTTGCAATGATTATTTTTAAAACTTGTAGGGCTAATACTTAATATTGGTGAGATTGAAATGCTCGAAACTCAAGATACAACTGCTCATACTAATAGTAGAACCAGAGCCCATAAACCTAAATATAGAAAACATGTTGATCACAATGCATTTATTGATGTTGATGAAAGTGATTCAAATAACAATAGTAAAAAAGCTACAAAAGGAACCCGTGCTAATCACAATTCACCTATTGATTTTAATGAATATGATACAAATTTATCAGAAAAAAATATTGGTAAGTTGTTTATCTTATTATTATTTTACATATTAAACTTGTTAGTGACAGTCTTTTAAAACATGTAGGATCAGCACTTAATGTTGGTGAGATTACTAATAATAGAGTAAAAGACTGCAAACCTAAGAAAGGAAGAAATCTTGAAAGTTCAAAAAAACTTGATAAAGATCTGCAAAGTAAGTGAGTCTAAATTTTAAATAAATATTGGCATGCATATATAAGGTTCCATAAATATTATAGAGCTAATGTGATAAATCAAGATCAGGTGATTTTTATAATTCAAGGCATAATAAGTAGCTGTGCAATGTTGTTAATGATCCTTATTGTGTAATGAAGATTATACAATTACTATATTCAAAATTTGTATATGAAAAAAAAACTCGAACTTAACTATACATTTCACTCTACTATGTTACTGGTTTTACTCAATCTCAATGATTACAAGATATCAATTTATTATATTAACACACTTGTACCGCAATATCTATGGCACTTTTATACTACCATAAATTGACAAAAAATATTGGCATATTCTTAGCTTATCCAAGGCATTCAAGTCGCAAGCGTAAAGTAATACAATAATTAATAATTACTTGTCTTTTTTCAAGGAAGTATAATTTAAATAAAGAATTATAGATGTAAGTTGACAAATTTAATTAATATTTATTT